TTCCATGAAATGCCCTTGCCTCAAAAAGTGAGATGGGAGATGGAGCAGTTTGGTCACCACTCCAGCCAAAACCCAAAGTACCCATCCCCAGGCTTCAACCAGCCTCATGCCAGCCTGAAAGATGAGACATTCATGAGGACTCGATAACAACCAGAGTGTTTCAGAAATCATATTGGGAGGTATTGGAGGATTTGGTGTTCAAAGAACAGGTAGCAATATTTTCTGGGTCTTTCCTTGTCTGTGAGACCTGTGTGGACCTTTCCTCAGAGGTTAGAACACTTCTGCTGTGCTGCAGGGAAAGGCAGGTCCCTGGAGGGCTGAGGGGCAGCAGATTAATTGTCTGACTTCATTAGCTGCTTGCAGCAAAGTGGCTGGAGAAGACCAGCAAGGAAGAGGTTGACAATGGTCTCAGCACATTGACCTCAGCAACAGCTTTATCTCAGCAAGAAAGAACAGGCACTTTTACTAATTAAATACCAAATGAATTACAGAAGCATCATTAACACAGAGAAGTGGCTGCAGCAAACAGCCAGGGGCTAAAGGCATCAGAAGTGCAGGAAAGTCATCACAGGTGGCTACAGGCAGCACATGGAGGGTGTTTGATGGAGATGGGTCCCAAACTCCTCCACTGGAGGTGTTCCTGAGTTTCCAGGTATGTTGGAGACATGGGGATTGTGTTTACCATTAACAAATTTGTAGATGTCACCAGGCTGGGTGGGAGTGTGGCTGTGCCGGAGGGCAGGAGGGCTCTGCAGAGGGGTCTGGACAGGCTGGATCCATGGGATGAGGCCATTGGGGTGAGGCACAGCCAGGGCAGGTGCTGGGTCCTGCCCTTGGCTCACAACAACGCCCTGCAGCTCCAGGCTGGGGCAGAGGGGCTGGCAAGCTGGGAAAGGCTCTGGGGGTGCTGGTGACAGCAGCTGGACACGAGCCCAGGGGTGGCCAGGTGGCCAAGAGGCCGATGGCCCCTGGGCTGTGGCAGCCGTGGGGCGGCAGCAGGAGCAGGGCAGTGCCCGTCCCTGTGCTGCCACTGCTGAGGCCACAGCTCGAGTGCCGTGTCCAGCTCTGGGCCCCTCAGCACAGGGAATTGAGGGGCTGCAGCGTGCCCAGAGAAGGGAACGGAGCTGGGAAGGGGCTGGAGCCCCAGCAGGGGCTGAGGGAGCTGGGAAAGGGGCTCAGCCTGGAGAAAAGGAGGCTCAGGGGGCCCTTGTGGCTCTGCACAAGTCCCTGCCAGGAGGGGACAGCCGGGGGGGTCGGGCTCCGCTCCCAGGAACAGGGACAGGAGGAGAGGGAATGGCCTCAGGCTGGGCCAGGGGAGGTTTAGTTGGACATTAGGAAGAACTTCTTCACAGAAAGGGTGATCAGACTTTGGAAGGGGCTGCCCGGGAAGGTGGTGGAGTCACTGTCCCTGGAGGTGTTTAAGGAAAGGCTGGATGTGGCACTCAGTGCTCTGGTCTGGCTGACAGAGTAATGATCAGTCACAGGTTGGACTTGATGACCCCAGAGGTCTTTCCCAACCTACTTTATTCTCTTACATGTATTCATGAGGATCACAGAGCAAAACAACACCATCCAAGAACACCTCCAAGTCAAGCCAAAAGCCATACTAACATCCTTCTCACTGTCTCTGTGGGGACTGAGTCACAGAAACACACTTTTCTTTCCAAGCACAGAGCAGCACACCTCATTTTGGAGAAGTGGAGGCTATGTTGCATTGCTGCAGAGGATGTCGGACCTTGGGGCTGAGAAGAGACACTCCAAGGGAAAAAAAACACCTAATTTTCTTCCAAGTAATGCAGGAGAACCCACAGCATTGCTTAAGTGGGGGGTACAGGGGTATAATCTGCTCACTTCTTACCCCCACAGAGGGATGGAGAGCAGAATCAGGGAAAACCCGTGAAACTCATAAGTTAAGAGCAGTTCAATAACTGAAAACTGAATTTTACATTGTTAGTATTTTACTGAAAAAAGTAAAATACTAACAATGCTGATAACAACAACAACAACAATAATAATAATAATAATAATAATAATAATAATAATAATAATAATAATAGAGAGCAAACCCCAAGAGAAAGTGCTGGACTGCACAGTTTGCTCATCACCCAGAGACTGATGCCCATCCCAGCCCCCAGCAGTGATCAGCCCTCCCAGCCAGCTCCCCCCACTTTATACCAGAGCATGATATTCTCTGAAACCCTTGGCTTGTTCAGCTCACCTGCTCCAATGGCTTCTTATGCACCTGCCCACTGGCACAGCATGAGAACCATCCTTGATTTAGAGTACATTTATAAAACATCATTTATACAGCATCATTTATACAACATTTATTCTGATACTGAATCCAAAACCACAGCAATACACCGGCTACTGAGAAGAACATTAATTCTGTCTCAGCTGAAACCATGACGATAAAGAAAATTTTTCCCAGGCAATAAGACAACAGATGTCTGGTGGGACGGAGGGACCTGTTTCCACATGATACAAATGTATCTTGGCTTCCTAAAACAAAATTATTAATTAAAGTAAACCACAAAAAGAGAAAACGCAAAACCCAACAGCCTGGTCTGGCTCCTGTCTTTACTGGCTGTTCCCTATTTAATCTTCTCTCCCTTCCCATGTTTGTTCAGAAATCCCTCTTCCAGTGCAGCTGGAAAAGGTTGTTACCAACAGGCAGCTGAGCCTGAATGCTGACAATGTGAGATGATTACAGCAGCCCAAAGAGCAAACACACAGAATTTCCAACAGAAAATGCTCCTGCAGCCCCAACCGGCTCCTGAGACACTGATCTGGACAGTGACAGTGATAGAGAAGGGCTAGAATCAGCTCAAGAACAGAGGCCACACAGTTCAACAGTAGCTCCTTGTGGAAGCTGCTTTACTCGAGAGTTTTGACTTTTCTCACAGGAAGTCGATGGGTGAAAGGCGCTGTAATTATTTGCTTTATGTCAAAGAGAGCCACTTGGCTTATCCTGGTTTTGAAGTGGAAGGAACAGAAATGGCTGAACTGAGGAAACACAGTGCTATTAAGCAAGATTATCAGCTGGTGTAAATTGTCTTCTGGTGCCACTTTGCCAAAACAGCTGATGTAGATCAGTGAACACAAGTACCAGGCAGACTTTGATGTCCTTGCACATCGTTTCTCAAGTTCCCTTGTTCTGTTCTGCAATTCATGGTGTGATAGAAACACATGAAAAGAAAACAAGCCTGAGCAATGAGGCAGTTGCCCCTGAGCTCCCTGAACTGAGTGTGAACCCTGAGAATTCTGCTGGGGAGTAATATAGAACAGAACCACAGCCCTGGGAGCCACTGTACTGTGACAAGCCAGTCCTTGGAAGGAAGGTGTCTGTGTTGTTACACATCTCATTCGTCTGTGCAAAACACACAGCTACAGTGGGCAGTGCAAACCAGAGACTGGTTTTCTCTCCAGCTGACAGACTTCAGGCTTCTACAGAATTCTAAAACAGCAAAGGATGCAAGCTGTTTAACACCAGCAACAGCATCTCCCAGGCTCTGCTTCAACAGCAAGGGCATAACAAGACCAGCTACTGCTTTTTCATCTGGACAGCAGAGAAAGACTCACCTGTGCTTCCAGGATCCTCTCCTCCCTGCATCACCACAGTTTTGCCTGTCTTCTGTGTCCGAGGTTAAAAGAGCAGCATGGTGGAACAGACACAGGCCCTTCTGTCAGAATATTGCTCCTGGACAGGTGAAAACCATCTCCCTCAGACCCCCCTGCCTTGTGCAGTCAAGCACTGTCCATCCCATGATTGTTCTGCAGCCTCAGTTTGGCTCAGACATACCTTTTTTGGAAGAGCTGCATTTACCCTTTTGTTGCAAACAATCACTTTTCTTTTCAAGTGCTCAAGACACTGCAGTTCTCCCTCATTTCCAGTGGCAATTCACCATCTCTCCTAGAGTGAGCTCCTGTGTCTGATTTCAGAAATAGATCCTTCCTTAAGCCCATATACAAACAATGATTCCAATTTCCACTTTGTAAAAGCAGAAAGTTGTGGAACACTACAGAATCACGGGAAATAGAAACTCCCTCCAGCAGGAAGATAGGATTAACTGTAGCCAGTCCTTAACTACAGCCAGCCTTGGTTGGCATTTGCCTGATGTGCTCTCAGAGATCCCCAAAGTCACAGGTTTTACACATTTCCACATGTTACATACTCCAGTTTCTATGCAGTTGGATCAATTTGCATTCCTCACGTTCACTTCTATTTCCTGCTACCCACAGAAAGGGAGCACAGGCATCCCTTCCTTTTCTTGTAACCATCTTTTATGGCTTTCAAAAATGGCCTTTTATGGTACCTTCTCTTCAGGCAATGCTATTTCTTCAGCCTTTCCTTGCCATTATTCTGGAGCTTTGAACACTTTTCTGTCTTTAACAGCTGCACATAAATAACATGAAAAACCTTGTTTGCCACAGGGAAGCCAAGGGACTTTGCATGTGGGTTGCTTAAGACCATTAGGAGGATTTAGGAATTACCCTCCTCTCCAGAGCACTTCCAAAATGAAGGCAGTTAGTAAGTTAAGAAGGTAACAAAGAATTAAGAACCCATTTCAGATGAGGCAATTCAGGAGAACCTAAGAGGAAGCATGCCTCAATCCAGCTGTTTCTGTGGGAATGTGAAAGCTTCAGCCTCATGATGTACCCGCAAAGAGCAGCAGTTCCATGACAGTCACATCACTCCTGGGCACCCAATCTGTGTCCAAGCAGGAAATCTGTGGCCAGGGCACTGCAGAGAGTGACAGGAAATGTGCAGTGTGCAATCTGTTTGTGCAGCCGAAGGATCCTTTCTCCTTCGTGTGAGCATCTGCTTTTTCTGAGTATATTTGTTGTACCTTTATTAAAAATAAGTGCTCAAAGACAGGTGGTCAATAAGCAGTGTAATAAACATTTCAGGATTTTCCTCTGTGCATAATGTCATGGTAACTGCAGTGAAGTGTGTTACATGCTGCCCAAGATGACAAAACAAAGGATGAAACAGCATCTCAAGTTGCAAATTAGACTCTCCTTTTAATCAGTGTTAAATACACACTTGTATCTTCTGAAGAGAAAACATTTTAACCTGAAGAATACCTTACAGGTATAATCAACTATTCAAGACATCCTCCCTTTCATGGACATGCATTTTTTTTCATTAGTCTTTTCATCTACAAAATCAAAAATTTGACAGATTCTAATTTTCCGAGAGCATCTTTTCTTTCTCTCTTAAACATTTATCACATCTATAAAACTCACAGGCTTACTGCATGTTATTACACCAAGATAACAGAGTAATGAACATGAAAACCACAAGGACATTCACGTATTTTTTTCCATTTTAAGGAAGAAGTACAAAAAAAAAAAATTCTACCTGAGAAATTATCCCTTATGATGTCATGGTTACTTTAGCAAGTGAATGGTGTTAGCAAGATTTTACATCTCTCTCTTCTTAACAAGGCAGAGCAAACAAATTACCATCCAATTCAAGAGCCAGCCTGAGAAGTTGTTGCAAGAAGCTGAATCATTTACTCCGGTGTTTCAGTGGCAGGAGAAACTGAAACTGAAAGCACTGGCAGGATTGCTGCTGCAAATTTGTTGGAACAGTTGGTATTTGTACACATTTCTCCTTCCCCTCAGAGAGAAGCCTCTGTTCTGTGAAACAGAAAACTATGAATAACCCCCATTTCTATCTACTTGCAGGAAAGCAGGGATAGCTGCAATCTCCTAAAAAGCAGTCAAACCTTTCACAGGGAGAACACAAGGACTGGGACACTAAAACTGGAATTTTATTTCTTTTCATGGTGAAGCTATCCCAGAAGCATGCACCTTCACATTCTTAAAGAAGAAAAAATTGAAAAATGTCCAATGTAATAGTTTCTCCTTCCATTCACTTAGTGTTACACCATCACCAGCTACCTCCTAGATGAAAAGCAGGTGGTCACACGGGTTCTGTGCCACAGAAACACTCCACTCCCAAGACCAACCCATTGCTCATAGTAGGGATGTACCACTCTCAAATCAAGCATATTTGAGGTACTCATAACTCTGCTGCCTTGAATTTAAACAGTCACTCAACCTCCTTTGAAAAATGAGGAACTTCTCTGAGATTTTCCTATCCTAACCTTCTTTCAAGCTTGAGAATTGAACAGTGAAAATCTTGGTGATCCCAGAAATGTTGAAGCCACCTGGCCACTCTTTACATTTAAAGAGTCAACTGCCCATAAGTCCACTGCAGTCCTCTCTACTCCCTTTGTGCAGCTTTTCTTTCAGCTTCCCTTCCCTCCAGTTGCTTTTCATCTTCTCCTTTAACCACTTGGAAAAAACACGATGAAGGTGAAGAAAATACCTGTTAAGCAAAGGGAAGGAAACGTCTCCTTAGGAAACACATGGGGTGTTACAAGGGGAATGGATGTCAGTGCCTTGGGGCACTGGGAAATCACAAAGTGACAGTTCTGGGGACAGGCTCTGTCACACACCAGGGGTCAGTAGATTTGGATGACATTGTCCCACTCATCAATGGGCCAGACTCCATTGTCCTGTACATTGAAGGGTGAGCTCTTCCAGTCCCACGTCTTCACAGGCACCTTCCACTCCGGGCCGTAGTTGGCCTCCACATACTGCAGAGTTTCACAGGGCACGTGGACCTTGAGTTCCACAAATTCAGCCCAGCACAGAGTAAACTTGGGAAAGAGATACCTGTGCCAGAACAAAAGGGCATGGTCACTGTTAGAAGGCTAGAATGTACCCCTAAGTAAGCTCAAAGAGGAAGCAAGCAGCTGCAGCTGCAGTGGCCATGTTGCATTTATACTGTTTTTATTCTTACACAATGGACAAGGGTGTTATCAGCAGTAACTGGTGAACATTTGCTTCATGTGCTTAGGAAGGATCATTCCTAATTCTTTAGTGGCTTGCACTCACATCATTCTGCCACCTATAGGTGAGTCCCCGCCTCTGCTTTGCCTGTTACAAATGGGACATAATAGTTACCCTTTTTAGAAAGGTGAGGGTGGTACATGCTTACAGCAGTGGCAGTTCACAGGTGAATTTCACAGCTTGATCAGAATCACATCACATACTGTCAGAGTCGAGGTGTTAAACAATACCAAAGTCTACCCACTATTCTTGCAGAGGATCACTCCCACTTCTAAAGTTCTGAAGACTTGCACACAATTTTTTTTTTAAAAAAAAGTGTTCCTAAAATTCCTTTTCACAGGTTAAGGATCATATAAGCAATTCATCCTTTCAAAAAAGGTTTGTACATTTGTATGATGAACTAGAACTGCCCTCTCCATCTTCTTTCAAGTATGAAATTAATTTTATTTCTAAGTTCTCAGCAAACAATATGAGAAAATGAAACAATTTTGCTTCATGCCTTAAGTGGACGGAAAGAACAAAGTGATCAAGCATTTTTTTGGATACATATCCAGAGACTGCTGATTCAACTAAACTCTTACACAAAGCCCTCTTTGTTAAAAACCTACAGAATTAACTCACTTTAAGGATTACATAGTGTGGATTTGATTCCCAGACTCAGTTTTTGTAGATACTCATTGCTGGAGAATGCAACTGTCCAATATTAAATTTGCAAAAGATGCTTGTGTCAGGAATGCTGAGGAAGTGTTTGTGCACATGGGAATGCAAACCACACAGCCAGACTTTGAGGGTTAGAAACCAGCTCTGGAAGGAAACAGAGGCTAAAAATGACTATGAGATATATTTTAGGGGCTCATTGAGAAATGCTTTAGTTCTCCACCCTCTAATTCAGATGTATAGAAAGAAAATATGCTTGTGCAAATATTAGCTTTCTGAAGAAAACACCTTCTACGTTTCAGTTTTAATCTTAGAAGATAACTTCTACCCTCCTCTGTGATGACCTAGTAGCAATCAACATCTCTTCTGACACTACAATTCCTTTAAAATTTTTAGAGTGGATTAGGATTCAGCATGAGCACACAATCCTTTCTATTCTGACTGACCTCCTCACTTTTGCCTTCCTCAAAAATTCTGACAGGGCTGGAGAGTAAGCAAAATTGAGGGTCATTCTGGTGTTGCTTGTATTCACATTAAGCATGCTAAGTGCTCCCACATCTCACAGTAACAAATGCTGGATTTTTTTTTTCCTCTTTTTGAGGATGTATTTGGAATAACATATGCCTGGAATTACTTGGCTAAGCATTCTGAACATGTCATGGCTCAGGGCCTTTATGGTGGTAAACAAGCAGTTTTCCTGCTCCTTTTCTGTGTGTTTTAAACCAAGAAACACCAGCTCAGAATTAGAGGCTTGGCTTCCTTATGATGCTATGCCTAAGCAAAGTTATTACTGAACTAAAAAGCTACATTTGGAACTTTTAATAAGCTACTACCAAAAATAAGTATGAGGTTACAAGAACAGGAAAGACTTTTGTGGAAGATGGAGTTCCCCAAGAGCTGTAACATCCAAGGACAGAGAAGCTGGAGTGCAGCACAGGGTCACATTACCCCCTATTCTCATGCCTTAGACCAGCCATTATCAAAAAAACAGGAAAAACATCTCTCAAGTATCCAAGGTTTGACAGAATTTCGAAGGAGCAGTGTCACCTCCATTGGCATGGAAACAGCTACTGCAATTTAGATGCAACAGGAGCACAGAGAAGGAAAGTAATTTATTGGTCAGCTTGCTTTTCAGAATGCACATGAAAACTGGAACTACTGCCATATTCTAAAAAAATATACTTTGCTACACAGCACATTTTCTGTGGGCAAATTTTTTTTTGTTCTTTGTTTGGTCTATTTCTAAATATGCCTGTTGAAGCTGGTTATCAAAATATCTTTCCCAGTCTTTATTTATCACTTCAGAATGAAGATAACTAAGAGAAGAATTTGGGCATTATCTCCAACTGGATGACAGTTCTCACTAAATTCCCATTAGCTAAATACAAACAAATACATTTCAGGCAAAATATGAAAGATACCAAAATCCTATAGAAGTCTACAAGTTTTTCAACTAGTCTTCAGCTATCTCCTTCTGAGTGAAGGTATGTGATAGAAATAAATTAAGTATCAAAACCTATATTCAGTTTGCTGAGTTGATTGGGCAGCTTGTTTGCTGATTTAATACTGAAAGGTGTGAAACAAGAAACACAGGATCCTATTCAAAATTCCATTTTCAGAACATGAACAGTGAGGCCTGCAGGAATTGTCTGTGTTGACTACAGTCAACCCAGTATTCTAAATTGCTACCTCAAAATCCCAAATTGTGAGTTTTTCTGTGCAATGAGATTTGAGACTTTTTGCCATAGGATTTCCTCATCAAGACAGATGCCTAAGGATTAATCTTCTACTACAAAATTAGATTGTGCAATAAACACTGTTTTAGAGTCTTTGTCTCACCTTGGGTGTTTATATAACTAGGAGCCTGTCACAGTCAGGTAAGATCTGCTTGATACATGATATGCCAGCCCTGCCTTTGATTTCACAAGAGATCTGACATTTACTCTCTAGTAAGGCACAGGACTGTTCTCTCTCTGCTTCACTGGTCTCAGAGTGCAGAAACTCCACTGATTGCCCTCTGACATACACATTTCCACAAAGAGCACAGATTTTGCCGGGCAACAGCACACAAAATGCCATCAGTAAACACTGGCTTGTTCAATTTTTTTCTGACTAGTGGTACAAATCCAGTTCTTACTTAAATTTCTTGCCCGATTTGGCCTGAGTTCCTCCATTCCATATGTGGTCATCCTCTTCATAGAAGAAAAAAATATCAAGCTTCACATCATCTTCTCCCTGAAAAGAGAGTTCCAAGCTGTCTTCCACCTGGAAGACAAAAATACACACTGTATATACGCATAAAAATACAAAGCAACTTATGCCAGCAGAAAACAAATTAATTTTCATCAGATATACAGGGTGACTTCTATTCTAACTGAAGAAAACATAGTAACTCTGCATTATTTTAAAACTTTATTAAACACTTCTGCAACTGAAGTCAAAGTTACAAATCTACAGATAGACACATGAAGAAAAATGTTCATTTTCTATGTACCTTGCCAAATTTGTGCTTCAGTGGCAACCCTGCTTTCTGAAAGGCTGGAATGATATCTGCTTTGTAGTCCCTTATAAAGATTCCCAAATCCACATCTTTGCTGTAAGGAATGACATTGCATTGCCTATACCAGCCTGAGAGGGGAAAAAGCAAAACAGAAAAATCCCAAACTAGTTAATTCAGGAACATGAATTCAACAGAACTAAAGCAACACAAAAATGAACTGTCCCAAGATCACCAGGCAAAAGTCTTTTGACTGAAGGCATAAACAAGACTTCTGTCTTTTTTAGTATGGGATAAACCACATCAAAGGAAACAAGTATTACTGCACTTACAGTCATCTCTCTCTCTTCAGAAAGTCAAGAATGTGAGAGAAAATGAAGATAAAATATCTTCAGTTTCCTAATTTAAATGCATTTATATATAAAAAAAAAAGAAATTAAAATTCTTTATGTGGGCCCAAATCTAATCAGCAAATAACAGCTACAGGGCCACAGCTGTGCTTCTGATTTGCAACCATTGTTTTATGCTGCATCCAAGATGTTAATCATCTTTCAATCACCACTGCAAAGCAGAAACACACAAAGTGGGACATCCTTTTGTCTGTTTCATTAAGACATCTTTTAGTAACTGTTCATTCAGAAAATTATATTCCCTAGGATTAAATAAATACATGGCAAATGTGCACACACGAGTTTTCACAAAGTGTTTCAGTAACAAAAGAACCCTCACCAGTGATAAGACACTTCTACCTTCAGCAGAACTGAAAACTTGCACTCCTTAGTCTAATGGGCCGTCATTTTATTAAAAGTTTGTTTTGAAAGAAAACAAATTAATATAAACTGTATTTCAGAAGTCAGTGACAAGCATCTAATTGCATGGGAAGAAAAACAGTGTTAGAGTGCACTTGGGCAGCAGAAATATGTGCTCATCACTGCATTTTCCAACTGGCACTTCAGTGAATTCCAAGTCACACAAATTAGGAAACTGTTGACCACTTCCTAGCAGGGATGAACAAAACACAGGTAACTGCTAACACTAAATGCTTCACTGGAAATTCGTCCAGCATCTTTGCAGCTCAGTTGTTTTAAAAAAAAATACTTTTTTTCAGGAGCAAAAAGGCCTACTGCAACACAGTTATTACCTTCCAACCCACTACGTTTGGCCTCTGCTGACAACACAAGCAATGGAGGATGAAGTGTTTAAAGTTCCAGGTGAGTTTAAAAATGCAACAGAGCACAATTTTTTACCAAGGCATGTTCCACTGCTCAGCCAGAACTTCACTCCCAAGTTATTCAGTGTCAGAGCAGCCAGATGAAGCAAGGATTTTGCCTTTTTCCTGAATTCCACTGCATCAAGAGAGGCATCATCAGGATACAGCTGGAAGGCAAGCGTAAGCAAGTTAATGTCAGAGAACAGACTTGTCCCTTCATTTGTTTTGTGTCCTAGGGAAAAATTTACTTAATCAATACCTGGGCTAATATCTCTTTTTACATAGAGAGTCCATTTTCAGACCATGCACAGGAATGACAAGTTGAAATTAAAACTCTGAATCATCAACCTTCCTTTTTTCCTAACCATCAGAATGAAAAATCAGAGTAGACTAGAATAAGAAAATATGTATTAGACACTGATTCTCAGCACTTGGCAGCAACATCGGTGAGCCCTTGTCCTGCACATGCTGAAGTCCATTCCCAGAATCCAGGGGGAACACGTGGACAGAATCAATCCCAGCCAGCATATCAAGGCTTTTCCAACCTCCAGAAGTCCATGATTAATTTATTTGGCGCCACCAAGTGTCAGAACTGGGTGTTGAGTTTTAAGAAAAACTGCCAAGGAGGAGAAACACTGAACGCAAAAATCTTCCAGACAGAACTGTGGCAAGGTCTGCTGTCCATGCAAAGCCAAAATCGACACGGAAGGCTGGGCAAACGTTACCAATTCTAACAATGGAACAACCACTCAGCTTCAAGATGGATTTCTTCAAGAGCTCTTGGGCAACAAGCAGCCAAAATGAACTTTTCAAAACAGGTGCTAGCTGCTTGTCCCAGTGCTAAAGCATCAGCAAAGTTCAATAAACATTTAAGAGCACATTTTCTCTGCCTGTGGTGATTCCTGCCTGCAGGCTGAAGTGGATTATATTTTTCCATACATGAAGGGACAACATATGGATATACCCTTGTGACCCTCCTGCTATCCATACAGGGATCTACAGCCTACTAGAGTGAACAGGAGTGGTCCTCCCTTTCCCCAACACCTGAATGACTGAAGACTGGAGCCTCCAGTGTCCCTTTTCTCCTTCCATTTTTGCCATCTGAGATGGCTCAGATTCAGTGGCCTGACTCTGGCTCCATGGACTTAACTGTGAACTCTTGATCACTTTATGATTCATGTCCTTTTCCAAGTTAGGACAAAATGCTCCCCCAACACTACAGCACAGACTTCTCTATCTGCTAAATCAAGTAGCAAAATTCTAAAAATAATGTTCTGAATAGTGGTGAAAACACTAGCTCACACAGTCAGAAAAGCAATTAAATCAGTCACTTTGGAATGTGACCATTTCATATACACCAGAAGAGGAACATGGAACTGCAGGGCATGGCTCAAAAATGTAAAATTAAACACTTCTCAAAACTTTGACTGCCATAAGGAAATTTTTCAGCCATGAAAATACACAAGACCTTAGTTTAATTTACATGAGATCCATTTAACAGTAAAGGTGTATAAGGACCAGATATGTTGGCTCCCTCTTGGAAAAAAATGTGCTCACAAGTAAAAAACCAAAAAGGCCATGATCTTCAGGTAAAGTTTTGATTTCATTACCACTTAGTAAGCTCTGTGGAATGAGAATCAAGGGCTGTATTTAGCCTTGTGCATGTGAACAGTCCCATTTAGGTACAAAAAAAACCAGTGGACTGTTCTTAGGTTTGGGTCAATTAGTGAAAACACACATTTCATCTCAGAGACACCACCTGGTTACCACTAACCTGAAAGAAAGCCCGAGCTTCTCTGTACCTACATTCAAGAAATCTAGAGTGGGACATCTCTTCTAGAAAACTGGACGGATTTTTTGGAATTTGAACTTTTAAGTCATCAATGGAAACAAGCAGAAGTTCTGGCCTGCATGGAAACAAAGATAATATATTACCTTATTTAATTCCTTTACAAAACACATGGCATTTTTTCTTTTAACTCAGGTTATAATCTTAATGCACACTACTGGCAGTGATCTCTCTGTCCAAATATAGCCAAAACAAATTACAAATGAAAAAAGCAACAAGAGCTTCACCAAATTCCCCATTTCAAAAATTTGTTTAAAAAGAATTCCTACACTTCCAAACCCCAAGTTAGTTTGTCAGATCACTGATTCCTTTACTGACTCATGACTCGAATTTGTTCAGAGATGTTATTCAGTTAATTTTAAAATTCAGGCTATTTGGTTGTCTAAATTCAAAATGCACTTAAGAATCTAATTTTACTCTGTACTTTGAGGCTATTTTCTTTTAAAAATTAAAAACTATTCAGCCTTCATAATGATTAAAGTGAGATTATACAGCTTACACAGTTTACTTCAAACATTCAGGGATATAACTCATGCAGATTCCATGTTTTAAATGGACAAAAGAATGAGGTCAAATTAAAGGAAAAATTTCAACAGATTTATTTTAATATGTGAAACGTCTCAATATTTTTCTCATTTTCTCAGAAATGATGCTCTCAAAGCCTGCACTTTGGGGTCTGAATTATACTTGAGCTGAATTTTAGAACCTGACTACAGGAAAGAGAGTAGTTTTACACAGAGAGGAAGCAATTTCAGGAGTGCCATGATGGCTTTGTCCTTCCCCTGTTGTGAACTCACTTTTCATACGCCCCAGGGTAGCGACCGAAGTGGAGTTTCCGGAAAGGCACAAACTTTCTGTCCATGTGTTGCTTCAATCTCAGGGGCCCGTGCCAGAGAAAATTGCCACTCCTCTCGTAGAAGACCACCAGGTGAATGGCATGGGATGCCAGTTTGAATATGTAGTGCAAGGGAATTTCCATCCCAGACAGATCATCCATCCCATCCAAGCGGGGATCCTTATTTATAATCTTTAGCCACTGGAATCCCATCTTCTCAGCAGTTCTAAAAAGACCCACCTGAAAATGAGGAAGACGGGAGGCAGAGCAGGGTAGAGATTAGAGAAACAAAAATTGAAATCTAAATGCTTATTATTAACTCATAGCATTCCCCACTTTCATTTTTTAATCAAGTTAAAGCACAAATGAATCAAAAATCTCTAAGAGCTTTAAGACCCGCAGTCACAAGCTATTCCAACACCTCCTTTCCTTGTCTGAAATTTAGTCCTTCAAACTACAAAATAAAACAACAAACAAATAAAACATACCTGGACTAGGTTTGCTCTTTGCCACAGCACCTTATCCTGCATTCTCAAACTATTCTCTAAAACTGTTCTGCCAAATTTAGTGTTCCTAAGTCCTTAAATAATAACACCAATAATACAAAAATAATTGCTGCAAAATCTTCTTTTCTGGGGCAAATAAAAATTTCACCAAACACTGAGGACTGCACTCAAGGTAGCAGGCTTTCATGTATCCACAAATAAAGGGAATTCAATCCTGGCTTTAAATTCTAATTTTTTTTTATTTTTTTTTATTTTTTTTTAGCCAAACCAATCAGCATCTGAAGAGCCTTTCAATTCCCCCCCCTTGAAATGTTTTTATAAGCATATCAGGTTCTGCTCCGGATGATACAGAAACTGAGACACAAAGCAATAGGGAAATGGATTTATTTCAGTGTTCTGCCACTCAGCTTTAGCCTTAGATTTTTTGAATGCCTTCACACCTCTGGGTAAAACAACTGTGTGATCAGGCCCAGAGTGACACCCTTCTTCACTCAAATTCTTCAGTGAAATAGCTACTGACCATTTCAGTGTCTCCTGCTTTTTATAATTAAAAAAAAAACAAAACAAAAGCAAAATAAAAAAAGAGCTGTTTGCCACTGGTATCTTTAGTCTGTAAAAATTAATCTAATAAATATTTCCAGATTACACTTAATTGATGAAATAATCTTGGCTTTAATTCTGTCCTTCATCACATGCTATATCTGTATTTTTAACACAAACATTTAAAAATGTCCTAACACCACAGAGAAGCAGAGATACCAACACATGAAGTGAAACAGTATGAAGTACAAGGATGTGCTAAAAGAAACGTAAACCAGCAGACTATGATAATTTTTCCAGACTTATCACATCAATACCTGGATTTCCTTCTTGTTAAGTCCTGAAACTCCAAATTTATAACTGCTGCACCTACATTACAGCCTCAAAGTTCTCTTCCTTCCTTTCTAACAGACCTTCTTTCTTTCCTTTTGGCATAGATTCTGACTACCAGTGTTTTTTTTATTATTGCAGGCAGGTTCTAAAAAGTTTTAGCTATGAATTACTCCTAATGTACCCAGGCTAGTAAATGGGAAACTTTGACTTCAAAACAAAGTTTCCTCTGCCTACAATATTACCACCACATGAATTCCATTACAAACATGAAAGCATTAAGTGACAACTTCAAAGAACAGCTGATGTATTAAAATACACAAATGTGAACTGAAAACATGCACTTACTTCATGTTTCCATGTTTTGTCCAGCAGTGCAAAGGTAGTGAAGTCTCTTGGAGCACAGAAGTATTTGCATTCTGGGCTGGGGCCATCAGGAGAGCTTCTGATCTGCTCAATGTCTTTATTAACCAGTCCCAGAATCAAAGGATCGATCAAATACACTGGAATATTGTGACTGGATATTAATCCTAGGAACTTCCTAACCACGTGCTGTTTGACAGAGGACAGAAACACCATCTTTGCATTAAAACTCTTTGATAGAAAGAAACCCCAACCCACTGAAAGAAGGAAATCTTATCTCCCAATATATCCTCTGAGTGTACACTCCACTTTCACAAGCGGTTGTGAGACTGAGTGAGACGGCAGGATGCAAGTGCCACAAAGAATTTGGATTCTGGGCTACTCAGGGCACTCAACACTGCGTAAGTTAAAAGCTGCAGCAAGAAGGTTCTGTGCCTGATGCAAGGGCTTATTAACTTGGCTCAGTGGAGAACATTAATCAAACACACTTAAACATCCATGGCACGCAGAAGCCATTTACAGCAGCCACAGTCACCCTGCTACTTAAATATATTCAATGGTTACATTTTCATTTAATGATTTTAAAGCTCTGGTTTCAGAGAGCTGTGAAAACACAAAGACAAGATGTGGGTCAACAACAGTTTTGGCAGCAGCATTACCTGCGTGGTGCAGGCAGAAGCGAGGCCACCCTCATATTGATTTCAGCTACACGGAGCTGAAAGGTAAGTGATGTGCTCATATTACTTCTGTGACTAAAACTGGCACACCAGACTGAAGAACAGGAAAAAATCTGTGCAAAAGTACCTACTTCTCCTTCCCCATCCCATCACTTCTCCTGGAAAACAGATGCTTTCAGTTGAAACTTAAATGTTTAAAAAAACATAAATAATGGCAGAAAGACATGGCCTTGATGTTAACTCAAGAGAAACATGTTCATATTTAGTATTTTGGACACATCACTGCTGTGACACCAAGGAAAGCCTGAAGTGCAGTATGTGGCAAGATCTTGGAGCATCCTTTATCAGTGATGATCTCAGAAGATCAAGTTCAACCTTTAGGAGAGCTCTGCCCACAGACTGGAAGCCCCCTGTGACCGTGACACTTCACACCTGGTAGGCAGCTCCAAGGGGTGTCACCTCCAAGAATAGCAAGGCATTCCTGGCACAAGCAAGCAGTCCACAGAGCAGTTGGATTGGATTTTTTCCAGGGACAGTTCTCGACCACAGCACCTTCCCTCTTGCTCAGCAGAAACCAGGCCTTTAAATGGCCATTCTGCTAATTAGCAACATTATCATGTTGCATCCAAACCGAAAGGCAGCCTGCTCCCAGCACATCCTTCTCCTTAACCATCTGTGCTGCTTTTCCACTGGGAGATCAGTTAACAAAAAGTCTTCTGTAAAGCTGTTTCCAAACAAATCCTAGCTACAAACATCATAGGGGACCTTCTGATTCCCCAGGATGAGAGTTTTGGTTGCATTCAATCTTGCAAACCTGAAGCAAGACACAACAAATATCCTATTTCAAGCACCAAACAGCACTCCAGCACTGACCATGAGGGCTGGAATGCAGCAGCTGGTGAACGCTGAAACGAGACATTTTCCTGCTTGGGAAGAGCTTTACAACCCAGCACAAGCAGGCAACGGAACACTGACCAGCAGGTTAAACACCTGGAATGGGCAAAGGAGCACCATGTGACTCAGGACCTTTTTAGACCAACAAAGAAGCTGCATGGCAAACCGGACAATCTGTTCGACACTCAGCCTGAAAGGACTCAAAATCCTGGATCAACACTTTTGATAAAGTGTTGCTTCCCGAAACATTAACAACACATCTAAGCGCTGCAGTGGCAAAGGTTGTGAACCTGTAACTGTTTATCCATGTTCTTTAACATTGATGTTTTGATACTCTCTTTACAGAATAAAGTTACAAAGTGTATCTCTTTACCCCACAATGCAGTGAAGAGTGACGAGAACTGGACCCTGAATTTGCAGCTCCAAGTGAGTTCTGTGAGTCGTGAAAGAGCTGTATGAACCAGTGACATTGTACATACCCATCTAGTGCTGTCTTGGCCTGACTGGCTTCCTCTGACTTTGGAAAAAGCTGCTCCATTCTATCAAGAAGACAAAACAAAAAGAAGGGGAGGGAAAAGAAGAGAAAACCCCCAAAGTTTCAGTTGAATCCTTGTTTTCTTAGCATGACATTCAGGGGCATTTATCCACTTTATGATTATAGCTGGGGTTATGCCTCTGGTTACTCAGCTACAGCTCTGAATGTAAAATCATAAACAACTGCTGTGGCTTAAGTATATTTAGAAGGACAAGCCAAACCTCAGGGACCTCCAGACATGCAAGGACTGAGCGGCAAGGCCTCAGGTTTCCAAGCCAATGTGCCAGCAAATGCAAAATAGGAGGATGACAAACTCTGTCAGGCAAATACCAGAGGGGCAAAGACAGTGGGACTGTGCCTCGATCTTTCCAGGTGTAACCCTAGACACTTCAATTTTAAAGACAGCATATTCACGTGAGAGAGTCAAGGCAGCTTGTTGCTCAGCTTTTGGCTTTTCAAAGGCACAAAGAATTTTTCAGTTGTTTAAAAATCAGAAACTGAGAGAAAGAAGTTGAAGGTTGCAGCATCACCTGTCACTGACACTGCCTGCACTTAACAGGGAACGAAAAGCCAAAAAAAAAGAGTCAGGGCACTTTGAAACCTATACGGCTCTTCTGTAAAAATAAAGGGAGTTCCTTTGTTGAATCAGAGTTGCAACCGTAAAGTATAAAGCTACCAGAAGATTTAATTTATAGTGACAATCACTTCTTTTGCTGCTGCAGAAAATCACTCACTTGGACACTCCAGGTCAGGTATAAAAAGAGGTACAAACAGCATCCCAGGTATAAAAGGAGGATTTAAACTGTGACATCCAGCACACTAGGAGCACTGAGCCACAAAGCCCTAAGACAACTGCAGAAAAAGTTGGGATTTTTCTTCTCCACACCAGCGTTGGAAAACCTGCACCAAGCAGATGCTGCCTCCCCTCCGTTCGACTTCGGTGGCAATAAAAGTCACCGAGTAACAAGAGCTACTTGTTAAAGGGTTAAAAACCGTGGTGGCCCGAAGCTGGCGGGAGCATCATTCCCTGCGGGAGAAATCGGGCGGCCCTGGCTGACACAGTGACTTGGATACCAGGTTGGGAACTCAAACCCGACTATACCCCTGCCACCGGACACCGGCCTAGGCTCCCCGCCCGCCCCNCCGAACCCCCCAAACTCCCCCAAATCCCCCCGAATCGAGGCGGCGGTAGAACGACACAGCGAAACACACACACACACAGGGATGCAGATTTCTGTATTAGTACAAAACATCGCGTCACACGCGGACGGCACCCCCCGTCTCCCACTCCCCTCCGGGGGGATCAGGGCAGGGACCCCACGGTGCGGCCCAGGGATGCTCAGGATCACCGGGAACTGCTCCGAAGGAAACCCACGGCCAGGCTCGCCCTGCCACAGGACACCCAAAAATAGCGACGCTGTGCCACGACATCAACACAAGTCACGGTCAGCGTCCATCCAACACCCCGCAGTCCTCAAAATAAAAAAACACGGACAAGTCCAACACACTCCCAAGTGGCTCCCCCGGTCTCCGTCAGAAACGTGGGAGGGATGAGGAAAAAGGATTTGTACACTAGTCTCAGCTCTTCCTGCACTTCTAAGAAATGAACCTGCCACCTCTGCCCTGCCTGTTTGGTATCTGCTTGGTATTTGCAGAAGCATTTATATCCCCAGATGTTTTTTTTGTTTGTTTTTTTTTTTTTGTTTGGTTGGTTTTTTTGTAATTATCCTGTCTGACACTGACATCCCTAGCTGCAGTTAACAAAATTCTCCTTAGTTTTCCACAAGAAATGTATTCATACCTCAAGGAAAACCTTTAGTCCCTCAAAAGTCAGGCTTTCAGAGTCAAAATAGCTTCAGAATACCAGGAGTCACAGTAATTAAGCATCTCCTTTTGGTCACAGAGCAGAAAACTCCTGTTCAGCCACCATGCAGTATCAGCTCCAGAGTAATTAACAGTAAATAAGCCTGGTGGATTGAACTACAGACCTTCAAAAAAATCTAATCCACTGCCAAAGAGCCACCCTTCTCCAAATCCCTGAAAGCGGATTCACAAAGGGAATGGAAACTCCATAGGCTCCAGGCATCCCTGCCCAGCTGCAGGCACAAACCCTGTACCAACTGCAACAAAAAGCATCACTGGGAGCAGTGTGGTGTCACTCATCTTCCTAGGTTGATGGGTGCTGGAGAGACACTAATTCAGAAAAACAGGTCTAGAAAGAAATATCTAAAGTGCTTAAGGCAATTCTTCATATCCCCACTTACTAAAAACAACTGGACTAAATGTTAGCAGCAAAAATTTGACATCTGTGCAAACTATTATATAACAAATGCATCATTGTAAGGGTAGAAAGTCACATGTTAAGGTTCACCTAGGACATCAGTTAAACCAAAACTTGCAAGTCACAAGTCACAGTATTAAACACTCCCAAGCTTTCCTCTAACTAACTGTTGAAAGCGAAATTGCATTTTTACATTGGCGCATATCAAATTCACCTTGCATGTTACACTACAGCTTGCTAAGAAGAAAAAAAAACAAACAAAAAAAACTTCATAATTTAAATGCTTTTGTAGTGGGCTGGAAAATACTCATGGTTCTCACTACACATTAGCTGGTTGTAAACATCCCCTTTCTTTCCACGAAGGGAAATTTGAAGAGGAACTGCAGCTGAACACCCAAGATAAAGACAAGTGAATGCATGGTGATGAGGAGGTGCCAGTCTGTCCTGGTGTCTGTGCACCACTGCTCTGGACTAGAACTGGCTGCAAAACTGAGTTTGTAGCGATTTATCCCCAAGAACTCCTAGTCAGGTGTCCATTGCAGTAAAATGGAAAGAGAAAATATTATACACAGAGTATTTGCATAACAGTAACATCTGCAGATAATGTGTGAAACAAATTCAGACACTGTTGACCAAGAACCACATCACTTCACTTCAGAGTATCTTTGTCCCAAAGCCCAAGCAACAGAACAGGCAGAAGAACGTACAGTTAAACTGGGAACTATTTAGTACTTTCCTCTGCAAAAAGAGATTACAAGTTCACAATGCAAATAATTAAGAGATGCTCAAGTTCCAGATGCAAAATAAACATTTAGGGCTCAGCCAACCTGTCAACTTCATGATTCCTCAAGAAAAATAACACTTTCCAGAACAGGTAATTACATTTCCTTCTTAATTTTAACTTCTCACTGAACATCATAGCCAGTTTATTAGAAGGTGTCTCAAGGAATTTCTCCTTCTCTTGAGAAATTGTGATGGACAGAAAGGAGCCATTGGTAATACTGAGGTTTAACATGATTACATGTTCATGGTTTTATGGGCTAAAGGATATACAGAAGGAAAAATTGTAGTGGCCCAGCAGCAAATGAGCCAAATCATTATGGACCATGACTTTATAACAGCTTTCAGGTGATACCAGAAAATAATCTTCAGTTAGGAAACACCTGATTCAAGAGTGTACCTGAAAACTATTTATAGGCTCCTTGGCTTGATTAAAGGGAAGAAAGCAGATTAAAAAAGCCTACAATAACCTAGTAATTCCCACTGACAAGCTGGGATTTTCCAAGAAGAATATAACATGATCTTTTTTCCTTTTTTAGCTCTCCCACTACTATGAATCATTTGACTACTGTTTTACTAGGCTTGCAAATAGGAGTCAAGCCAATGGAACATCTATACATAATTTTCTAATGTAATCAGAATGCAATTAAGTAATGGTGACAAATGGGAGCCAATATCAATGTACAAGGTTTTAAGAAAGAGTTATCTGTGGAAAATCAAAGATTTTTATCACTGGGGGAAATAATAACAGCCTGATCTTACTGTTTCTTCATACCAGGCCTACACATTTTTATCATATCCTTCTGAAACCATGTTGTGGTATTTTGCTAGGCTGGGACAGCTGATCTGTCCGTTTTCAAAATGCACCTCAGAAATTTCAACTTCTAATGGCAAGCCTAGTAATAATTAAATACATTGTTAAGTAATTCGCATTAGGAGAGCTAAAAAATGGTATTTGCTATATTCTTCATAGAAGAATAGTATTTGTACCAAAACTAATATTGAAGTCCGTAAGAAAATGCTTGGATTGAATACAGTATTAGAAAAGTACACAGTTATAGCTCTTGGGGTTTTTTTGTGTATTTTTTTTTTTTTTTTTAGATAGGCAACAGTTCAGCTTTCTGACATTTTTCTAGATTCCCAGTACTGGTTCCTAACACTTACCCCAAAACCCTTTGCGCACTGTCTTTGCACAGGCCCTAAACAGCAGAAGGTAGCAAACCCAGTAAAATCCAATGCTCACAAGCTTCTGTGAGTAGTAGCTACACAGAAAAACAAAGACATTCACCAGCAGACTTGTTGAACAGACACTATTAGGCAACATTATTTAGACTGCTTGTTGAACCCCCCAATCCATTTTCACTCTTCTGAAGAGTTTTCACGGCACTCGGCACCTGCAATCCAGTACTCACTGTCAGCCCACCACACCAGATCTGGGGGGAAAAGAAAAAAAAATCTGCATTATGAACCAAACAGATCTCTCTCCTCCCATCCCACAACTTACTAGCACAAGCACAGCTGCGTGTCTTCTGTCACAGCACTCTGTAAAACATTCTAATCACAAACATGCTCATTTTTAAGTCCTTAAAGTCTAAGATGCTTCACATACTATGCTTCATAACTAAGCTTGCAGCTATAAGACCTAGTACTCAATTCACTTGCTCCTAACTAGAAAAATTCTTTGAAAGCCAATGTGTCAGCAGCAAGTAAGGTGACAATGAAAAGCAACTCTCTCACTCTGCTCCAGTGCCTGAAATCAGTGCTTATTTTTACCATGTCATGCTAAAGTTATGTCAGCATAAACATATCACAAAAAAAAAAATTTGAATAGATTCAGGGGCACAGGTGCCAGCAACTTCTATGCTACACATGTAAGAATGTAAATAAGTTTGAGAGCTGTAATTAAATTGTTTGTCATTTTCACTTATCCTGTTCAGTCATAAGGCTGTTGTCACTCTGTGAGAGGCTGGCTGTGTGAGGTGTAGTGCAATAGCATGAATTTTGGCAAGCAACTGTTTCTCCAGATGACTTGGGAACTTGAATTGATGTGAGTCAGCCTTTGCTATGCTAGGGAACGGCTAACAGATATAGTTCTGAAGCTATTCTTTTCCCCCTATGCTGAAAAGGATCAGCAAGGCAAATAAAAAGCCATGAAAAAAAAAATCTAGACCTGTTAAAATCCCAGGCCTACACACCCTGCTCCCTGATGCACTTGATGGCACCTTACAACACAGCTGGGGCCTCCCAACTAAGCTAAACGAATCACTTAAGTCATTAAAGAAAAACTAATAGTAACTAATCCTTCTCCTGTGCTTTTTGAGCAAGGTTTGAGCCTTTAACACTGTAGAAAGTTGTTGCCAATTAGCAGATAGCCACAAAAAAAATTATGCAGGGCACTGAACTGACTGGCAAGAAAATCCCACTGAGCTTTTAAAGATGTGAAAGCTAGAGACTTCCTTTTCCACTGGAAAGCACTGGGTGCTGCTCTACCCCATGACACCTCCTCTCATGGCTCAGAGCATCCTGGACTCCATCAGTTCAGATCAGTTATTGCAGTAGGCTCATCAGCTACTGCAGTGTGCTGTTAATTTCCTATACACAAATTTAATGAGTTCTGTTTACACAGCTGAGACATCCAGGTGCAGAGTCCTGCTGGGATGCCACTATAAGCACAACATGAAATCCAGAAGAAAACAGTTAAACACTTTTAAAAATTACTAGTCAGCCAAACCAAAGGCTTGCAGTTTCCTTCTTTAAAAAAACTGAATTCCATGCTAGAAACTGCAAGATTTTATAGATACTGACCATGAAGCCTGGTAGCAAGGGCTGAGTAAATTTTGTTCTGAAGGTGTGTAACAATGCCTTTGAGCTTGCATTATAAAATGAGAGCTGACCTAAGAGAGAGAGAGAGAGAGAGAACAAGCTGAAATTCAGCTTAAACATAGTTTAAGCTAAGATGCTGTCACAGTCTAACTTGTACAAAAAAATTTTTTCTTTTCCAGGACACATAAGTGCAGTTCA